GACGTTATGAGCTACTTGTTTTAGACTTTAGATGCAGTGAAGTTTGGTTTGCAAAATACAAATTCAGAATTTCGCTGTAATTCTGTGATAAGTCTTTGTATATGTTGTATCCACTTTCAACATTTTTCTCATTAAAAGAACATTTTTAATCCTTGAGAAAGGGCAAACACAAGCAACACAAAAAAAGTTGGCAAAAAACTTTTTCAGGTTTTAAAGAATAGTTTAAATGTTGTTTGAATTGTGTATATGAACAACTGAAACTTGTGGGAAAATAATTGTTAAAGCTACTGAAATACTTTTCAGAAAACTTTTAAAATACTTGAAAGACTCATCATCAGATCAGCTCATTGAGTGATTGAAATCCATCATTTCCATAAAGAGCCACTTTGCATGAGCAGCAGCATGCTCCAGTGCTCGGGGAGAGTTTAAAGTCCTGAGAGTTGAACACTGCAGGACTGACAGCTGTCCTTCATCACAACAGGAGACACAGAAATCCTCCTCCTCCTCGTCCAAAAACATGACTTTGATCTGCGTCCTCATCTGGACTCTCCTCCTCTGCTGCTGCTTCACAGGTAAAGTCCAGACAATCAAACTCCTCTCCTCTATGAACATCCGTCTCTCTGAAATGAAGCCCACACAACCCTGATGCTGCTTCATGTGTTTGTCTCTGTCTCCTCAGAGTCCAGAGGACAGGTCACAGTGACTCAGCCTGCAGCAGTGAGATCTGCTCTGGAAGCCTCCGTCACTGTCTCATGTAGGACCAGTGAGGATGTAGCTACTACAGGCGGCAAACCCTTTTTAGCCTGGTACCAACAGAAAGATGGAGGAACTCCTAAACTGCTGATTTACTATGGTAGCACTCGAGTATCTGGGACTTCAAGTCGTTTTACAGGCAGTGGATCAAACTCTGACTTCACTCTGACCATCAGTGGAGTCCAGACTGAAGACGCAGCAGTTTACTACTGTCAGAGTTATCACTATATCAACAGTCAGTTGGTGTTCACACAGTGAAAAAGCGTCGTACAAAAACCTCCCTCAGTCAGCCTGAACAGAAACCAGACTGACTGCTGCAGCAGGAAGCTTCTGCAGAGACTGACACACTTCACTGAGGACACACACTCAAACACTACACTGACTGGTTTCCATCACCTCTTCCCTGTAATACAAAAACTATTACAATCAGTTATTCAATATCATATATTTCCACTATACAGTACTTAGCATTTCAAAATGAACCCTTGGCATATGTCAGATATTTATGAAGAGATTTTTAGTGTTGTCCTCGTTCTCTTCTCAAAGGTGACTTCAAGAGAGTGTGGGGTAAAGCCGATCACAGAGCCAGCCTCTTTGATCAGCTTATTGATCTTATTTGTATCATCCAAACAGATGCTGCCCCCCCCCCCCACCAGCACAGTACAGCATAAAAGAGGACACTAGCCAAGATACAAAACGTACAGAAGGTTCTTGCTAAAATCAGAGGATCTAAGCTTCCTTCAGAGTCTTGACTGAGCCTTCTTTAAAGACACATCAGGGTTATTTTTTCCAATTTAATGTACTGTCCATGAAGACATCGACATATTTATGAAACTGGACAGTTTGGATCTGCTATGAGGGGAAACATCGTCTTTCTTTCTTCTAAAATCAATAATACTTTCCAACATTCAATATGCATCACACCAGCTGACTAAAGATTCAATCTATGTTTGTGTTGGTCAGATTATTGCCTTGGGTAAGTAGGTGCACGAGAGCAGTAACATCTGAAAACTTGTGGACATGATGTCTGTGCACACTAACACAATCAGGACCTGGAGAGATGTCAGTGGGGCTGCTACACACTGCGACACAGGGAGCACAACAGAGCTGTTGGGGGTTCAGTGTCTTGCTCTAGGACACCTCTATAGCACTCGGAGAGTGACCTGGGACCTGGCAGCTTCCATACTTTGACGTGTACAGGGACTTAAACCAGCGACCCTCGGGTTCCCAAACAAGGTCCCTACAGACTGAGCTACTGTCGCCACAAATATATAAAATACAGTGCCTGCTCTATCAACTGAGCTAAACTGGTGCCCTGCAGAGGAAAGGTTAGTCTGGTTCCAAACTTGTTTCCATAAGAGTCCTACTAATTATATCCAAGAAAAGCAGAGCACCCAAAGCACCCCACAGGTAAAAGAAGGAGTTTACTACTGTCAATAATTAAAAAACATTTGAATTGTTTTCATTGATAAATATCTCTTTTTATGAGTTAAGTATTAAATCTTTTCTTTGACATCCAACAGAATATGCAGAACAGTCTTAACCCTAACCCTACCAAAAAGCCTTTGAATAAACTTTCCACAATGTGTGTTCTCATGATTTTATTTATGTATTTAAATCTAATTTTGACAACCACAGAGCAGGCATTGAACAAAATGCCAGAAGCAATGTTTTATCACTTTATGCTGATGATATCATCCGTTTTATTTGTAACACATTTCTTACCCACCTTCATTATTTTCAGAGATTTAACAATTCAACACATCAGTCATCAGATTGAGACATTTCACCATCTTCAACAGCAGATTTTGATGATATAAGATTATTTGGAAGTTTCCATTGCTATTTTTTTTTTATTCTTTAGATGAACTTACCAAAGTCCGTTCAAAAATTGTTAACCTGTTAAGAAATGAAAGATATGCACAACAAACACTGTTGATTCCATTTTTATTCTTTTGCTCATTTTAAGAAAAACTGTCAAAAAAAGGCAAGAAAAAGTTAACGTTGAAACATAAAATCAAGAGAGGGAAAGAAGGCATTTAGCGTGCAAACTGAGGGCAGTTTCAGAAGTGAAACAACAGCAGGGGAAACCAGCAGCAGAGTCCAGGTGATACAGCTCAGTCCTGGGAACACTGGTCCCTCCTCAGTGTCTCTGAGACCAGCGTCTGGGAGCCCTGGGTGGCCTCACAGGTCACAGAGCCCACCTTCGTCCACTGGCCTGCAGAGAGCCTCAGGGTGCTGCTCCAGCTGTAACGAGCGTCCTGCTCCATCACCGCAGGGCCCCTGCTCTCCTCCCAGCTGCCGCCGCTGATGCCGTCCACCTTCCAGGCCAGACTCCAGTCTGAGGGGAAGCCCTTGTTGGCCAGGCACACGAGCGTGGCCTTCCCCTGCTGCAGCTCCTCATTGGAAGGGGGCAGAACCATCAAGGTGGGACGGGCTTCACCTAGGAGACACCAATCAGAACAGAGGACAGGAACCACACAGCTGTCAGTCAAACACATCACTCCTGGACACCTTTGCAGTTGAAAGCAGAGTTTCTCCTTTAAGGAGTTTCTGTCAGATGTTTTTTTCTGCTTCAGCAGTCACTCACACATTGTTTCACTTCCCTCTCAGAAATCTGTCATGCAAATCAACACAGAGACGATCATCGTACAGAGAGACCAGAATACACTGGACTTAAAATAAAAACGCTGAAAAATCATCAAATCACTCAAACCTTTGAAATACCTATTTTTCTAACTCTTGAGTGGAAACATGAACCAAATCTATCAATAAAACATGTTTTAAATCATAAAAGGCTAAAAAATCTTAAGTGACATAATCTGCAGAAAGAGATCAGAGATTTTGAACATTTTCATTCAAAATTCTTACAACTTCCCTTTGAGCAATTTATTCAAAATGACAAAATGAAATAAGGGCCTTTAAGAGTTATCGTTGATGTGGAATAGATATCTGAAACCAGAGAATTATTTTTTATGAATCTGAAGCTGCTGAACTGAATGTAAACGATCTGTCCTGAGATGGTACAGGAGGACAAACACAAACAGGAAAAAAATATAATGTAAAAATGTATAAATGTTTCTTTATATTGTAAATGAAAAAAAAAAAATCACGATTACATTACACTGTTTAGAAATCACAGAAACTTACCTCCGACATCCAGTCTGGTTCCTCCACCAAAAGTCCACCACAGTGATACAAAGTCACTGAGTCGCCGTACAAAAACCTCTCACTGCACAGAGACACGGCTCTCTGACTTCAACACATCGTACTCAAACTACCAGCCCTCAAGATGCAACTTCACCTTTACAATGATAACACTCATTTACTCTGGAACAAATGATGACTCTGGCTTCAGATTTGACTATTTTGTGTTTCATTAAAAACTAAAATTTCAAATTTTTAGTCTAAATACAGAGAAAAACATGCACACAAATGTTTGGGTCAGTCATTTTCAGTCTTCCATTTCAAAATAAAATAATCTCTTGACATACAAAGGGTTAATATTTGACTTACTTCCAACATCCAGTCTGGTTCCTCCACCAAATGTGTACCACAGTGATGCAAACTCATTGAGTCGCCGTACAAAAACCTCTCACTAAAGAAAGTAAAAAAAATGCTCTTGTCTGCAAAACCTTCAAATGAACTGAAAAGTATAAAGAATACATTCCCATTAATATTCAAAATTAAGACATTTTATTCCGGGGATTTCTCCAGAAGCATGAACACGGTTTTAAAAACATGTCTTATTGAAAGTTAAAAAATTAACTTTATAATTAGTATAATCCAAGTCCCCAGTTAGTCAGAGCATTTCCATAAAGAGCCACTTTGCATGAGCAGCAGCATGCTCCAGTGCTCGGGGAGAGTTTAAAGTCCTGAGAGTTGAACACTGCAGGACTGACAGCTGTCCTTCATCACAACAGGAGCCACAGAAATCCTCCTCCTCCTCCTCGTCCAAAAACATGACTTTGATCTGCGTCCTCATCTGGACTCTCCTCCTCTGCTGCTGCTTCACAGGTAAAGTCCAGACAATCAAACTCCTCTCCTCTATGAACATCCGTCTCTCTGAAATGAAGCCCACACAACCCTGATGCTGCTTCATGTGTTTGTCTCTGTCTCCTCAGAGTCCAGAGGACAGGTCACAGTGACTCAGCCTGCAGCAGTGAGATCTGCTCTGGGAGCCTCCGTCACCTTATCATGTAACCAGTGAGGATGTAGAGACTACTCTCGACGAACCCGACTTAGCCTGGTACCAACAGAAAGATGGAGGAACTCCTAAACTGCTGATTTACTGGTAGCACTCGAGAATCAGGGACTTCAGATCGTTTTACAGGCAGTGGATCAAACTCTGACTTCACTCTGACCATCAGTGGAGTCCAGACTGAAGACGCAGCAGTTTACTACTGTCAGAGTACATATCATCAACAGTCAGTTGTGTTCACACAGTGAAAAAGCGTCGTACAAAAACCTCCCTCAGTCAGCCTGAACAGAAACCAGACTGACTGCTGCAGCAGGAAGCTTCTGCAGAGACTGACACACTTCACTGAGGACACACACTCACGAATGTGCGCTCAGTTTAGTTTACTGTCCTGCAGACTCTTTACCTAAAACAACTTTTCAACTTACACAATAACAGCCAATGTTTAGGGACGGATAAAAGCAACACATAGCAGTACTTGAATAAGAGAGGAAGCAAACACTATACAAGAGCCAGTCGCACTTTATGTGTTTTTATTTGCCTCTATAAGGTGTTCACAAATGTCCAACTGAACCTGGGCCTTAAAGCCCCGTTTCCACCAAGCGGTCTGGTTTGGTTCAGTACAGTCTGACACGGTAAACCCTGATCTTGTTGCGTTTCAACAGCCAACCGTACATCATAAAACAACAGCGGCACGACAGACAGCCAAGACATTCAATAAAGAAGAAGAAGAATGTGACACAGTAAATAAAAATGAATGATTGCATCTCCCAGGTCGTCCATGGGGCGGAGCTACGGCTGACATATAGTCGCATAAAAACAAAAACAGCCTTTTAATGACTCTCTCCAAAACGTGGTGCGTTTTGTGTTTGTCCTTTATTACCGCTGTCAAGTGAAGATTCTTCTTTCGACCAATCAACAGACTGCAGTGTTTCTAGCTCCAACCTTTAGAGTCGGTTCAGTACGCTTGGCACCCCAACAGAAGCGTACCAAAAAAGTATTCATGACAGTAGAAACACCAATACATGTGTACCATACCGAACTGAACCGGACGGGTTCTTAAGTTTCTAACTACACTCTTCTCCTCTGTCGCCCCCGGTGGTGGAAAATAATTCCAAACTTCATTGGATCCGCAGAGTCCCTTTGCACCTTTAAGAAAAAGCTAAAGACCCAGCTCTTTATGAACACCAATGACCTTCATGATGATGATGAAGATGAAGATGGTGTTGTTTGGTAATGATGATCACGATATTTAGGATGGTTTTGATGCTGATTAGAACTCTAAAGAACAGCTGTTGAAGTTGTGCTTTCCTGTCAGCATCTGTGTGTCAGATCAGACTGAAAGCTGTTCATTTGCACTTACTGACTTTGTTTCCTCCTCTCTAGATCCTCGCTTGTGTTGCACTTTGGATAATAGCGTCTGCTAAGTGAATTGTAGAGTTGAAGTGACTCTGAAAGATTAAAAGTCCCAAACCTCAAAGGCACAGTTTCTTTTCCTTTCAAGTGATCACAGGTATCTGGATCCTGCTTCTCCATTCAATGCAAAGTGTGTGAAAACAAAACCTTGACTGGCTCCTTTCTGGATCCATAAAAGAAACAAACAGTCAAATGGAGTCAAAATATTCAAACTGAAATAAGAAAAAACAAGTCAATATGTAGAAAACTGATATAATCTGTAAATAGATAAGAAAATGCACGAGCATCTTCTTAGAAACACATAACCATCAAATCTTCACACCCATTACATCATCATTAATTTCAAGAACTACTCAAGAACTACTGAAATGTAGCTTCATGCCACACCCTGTGACTACGTCAGCTGAATGTCCTCGTCTCTATGAGGTGTAAAGTGATCCTCTTCAGTGAGTCCTTACAGGAGAGTCTTTGTGGAGACTGAATGAGCTGCTTCACTAACAGTCTGGATTTACACTTCACTACACTTATATTTATAGCATTTATTTATATTTATAGCATCCCATTAATCCAGCCATCCAGATATACCTAATAATTCACTTTTTTTAGTCTACATCTGTAAATTTTATAATTACTGTACATAACACAGACTCTTGCACTTTATGCTTATTTGCACTTCTGGTGAGATGCCAAACCTCATTTCTTTACTCTATACTTGTATATGTGTAATGACAATAAAGTTGAATCTCATCTCATCTCTTATCTCATTTATTATCTGAGTCTGGTTGGATGAACTGAGCAGGATAGAAGGCCATTTTTAAAAGACGTACTCTGCTGCCCTCTGGTGGCTGAATGAGGGAAATGATACTGACAGAGGTACAACATTGTCTTGTTGAAATAACACACTGATAATTATAATATGAAACTATTCATCAAACGGAAGAAGACAATGCTTTAAAGCAAGATGAATGAAACATACAAGACGACAAGGACACATTTTTTAAGCATGGGAGATAATTATAAGAAGAACTAACTCAAGACATCGTATTTCATTTAGAACCAATATTATAAAATCAATATACTACCTAAAGCTAATACTTCCTTCAACAAAATAATACTGTCAATGTTATGGGGAAGATGTGGCTTAGAGGTACAGTGGTTTGGTTGTCAGAAAAGTTGGTGGTTCGATCCCCAGTTGAAGCAACCCAAATGGTTCCTGAAGGCATCACCATCAGTGTGTGATCGGATTGATGGACAGTTTGGCTCGTTATGACCATAGACTGTAAATATTACTGGACGAACCCTGACCCGTCTGTTACATAGAATGAGTCCAGAGTACAGAAAATGAGTCCAATCGACGGCCGCATCCATATTGGATTTGCAGTCTCAACCTAACTTCGGATCAACCTAGCGACAGCAGTAAGGCGGGACTTAACTCCGCCCATTCAGCTCGACGTCAGCAGTCCACTTCACAGCATAGCTAACAGCTAGGCTGCTATCATCAACTATTCCTGCTCATCCTGAGAAAACTAAACAGTAAGTTAACATTTAACTTTTCTACAACACAGTTAAAACAAATTATATTCAACAAAAATTTAATTGAAATCTTTAAACGACACTTTGTTAAATATACAATCATGGTTATTAGTTATTTGTCAGAGCAGTTAGACTTTGTCAGTGTTAGCAGAAAAATACATTAACAAAGTTTTATCCATAAACTGTAAATAAATGAGACATCCAGAAGAAATCAATATTACAAAGCATACAGTTCATGTTACTGTTCTGACAAAAAGAGGAATGTCTGTGTCTTATATTTACTGATGTCAACAGCGATGAGGTGAACATGACAATTGAAAAATAAATATTTAGTATTTATTATAAGATATTTGTTTTCTATTGAACCCCGTGAAGTCATGGAGTCTGTGGACAGTGTCAGCGTCACACCAAAAACTTTAAGTATTAGAAAAAATAGTGTTTAAGACTGGCATCTATTATATGAGTTGCAGCTACCTTGTTCAATATTATTCCTGCAGATGTGGCTCATAACAAAAAAACAGCCTGAGCTGTCACATGTAGTTAACTGTACATGTTGTCTGAGGCATTAATTGAACACCTTTGTATTTCTCCTATAGACACAGTGTGGATTATTGGTGACTGGTCCATCGAGGTGCCCAGAGAGCTGCAGAGACAGAGGAAGAAACCTGAGCCTCAACAACATCTGTATTTGTTGGTTCTTCTGGGGTGGACTTCAGTTGCTTCTCTTCAACAGCTCGCTGTGAGGGAGGTCTCCCCCGGATGGCCTGAGTGATGTCACCCACAGGCTGAGAGCTGAGGCGGGTTTTAAACCTCCTGACAAACCGTTACACCGCGCCCACCTGTCAAGCTGGTCAGCTACACGCCTTATTGTGAATAACTCTTATCCTTCATCAAATCAAAACTGATGAGTCATCAAAACATTCACCCCCCGTACAGTGTGTGTCCATCGAGACATGAGCTAATCACACCTATTTGTTTGTTTTGTACCAAGCTGTAAACATGTTCATCTCTGCTGTAAAAACAGACTTTTTTTCATGTTGTTTTTCAGATTAAATAAATATTTCTATATAAATGCACTCCTTTATGTCTACTTATGAGTATACATTTCAGATTTGAAATGACAAGACTAAAATGTGCATTAATGCTCAACTCAATAGCTTAGGGAAGGAAGTCTACTTTTACACAACTTCTTATTCTTTTGATAAATACTAATGCAGTTCATTTCTTAAAATGGGATGGAACAGAGTCATTGCAAAATGATGACCTTAAACACAGCCCCATTCTTAAATCAAGATACATGGAGAGTAAATAAGATCAATAACTTGTGAATAAAAACACAGTTAAAAATGATTTAGAAATGTAGTCTTCCCAGATCAATATCACATAATATCAACTTCTCCCATCTAAACTGGACA